CAAATTTTAGTTTTTGACTTTTTGGCTAATTTTATCTAAAGTTACTCACACCCTCTAACTTTGCAAGAAAATTATCCATGCGTCAAAATTGAAATTGAAAGACCATATTACTGAAAATAAAAATAAAAATAAAAATTGAAAGACCACAAAATTAAAATAAATCAACTTACCTTTTCCAACACTTTCAAGGAAGCACATGATATATTCCACAAGTACTAATTTGATCTTCTATTTTGTTTTCTTGCTTTTTGATAGATTTCTTAATCATTTTGTGGGATACTGTATGTATTAGGATAAGCAACGTAATAATCTCACTAAAAGAAGTATACTTAACAAAGTCCTATAAAAGTATGTATCTACAACTATTATGCGTTAAGATAAATTATTACTAATATTTATCGTAATAGAGTTAAATGATTTTAAAAAAGAACTTGTCGCGCAACGCGCGACATGTAAAAGACTAGTTATATACTTTAAAGCTCATATTTACAACCAAAAGAAAGTCAAAATTTCTGCTATTCAACTAAGTAACACTGATCTGAAAAATACATATGTAACAGTCTTTCCTCACCAGCAGACATTTTCCTATTCTGGTTTCTTCTTACTCTCCAGTATAGCTCTTTTTTTATCTGGACTACTATATCTTTCACCCTGCTTCTGGCTCCTCTAAATATGCAATAATTTCTTTCCTGCCAGCAATGATACAGTACTGCCACAACTGCAGCATTTCAGAGTTGAAACTTTAATTTGTTCCTCTCCAAATTCTTAGAACTGCCTTCTGCCATACATTCCAATCCAATGAGAACTGTCTGATTCCAAGCCAAGCTCTGATCTGACTGAAGATTTCATATGTAACTTTGCAGCTAAAAAACAAGTGCTTGTGACTTTCAGTATCAGCTTGACACAATGCACACAGGGGGTCTAGCCCTGTGATGGACATCATGTTCAGCCTATTTTTGGTCAACAGGCAGCCTTGCCCCACTAGCCATGCAATAAAAGTATGTTTGGGAGCATTGAGCTAAGACCAAATCATATTGGCCTCAGGAGCTTTTGTTCCCTTACCTTTCAGCCAGTCGTAACCATCAAAAATACTGTATAAACCTGTCTTATTCCCTTTCCAGTGACTACCAACAAAATCATCCTTAGCTAAGTCTCTGATTTTCAAGATTTGTTTCCAATACTAACTGGAATCTTGCTTCTTTTCCACTTCTCAGATAGACTGCCTTTTCAAATACACCCCATGGATCCACTTAACCCAAAGTGAATCACTTTTCTTAGCTAAGTTCCATATCTGCTTCAGAATGACAGCTTGATTCCATAGTTTGATGTCCCTAAGTCCCAAGCCCCCTTCTGATTTCCTTCTACATAGAATTTCCCATGCTACTAGGGGAGTTGAACTTCCAGTCTGCTTTGTACCCCAAATAAATTCCCTACAAAGCCTAGTAACTTGCTTGATAATACTACTTGGCAGTATAAACATACAAGCCCAGAAAGTATGAAGAGACATCAAAACAAAATTAGTTAATTGCACTCTTGCAGCATACAAAAGAATTCTAGTCTCCCAACACTCTACTCTAGCCATCATCCTTTGAATCAGACTATCACATTCAGTTTTCGACCATTTTTTAGGGGATAAGGGAACTCCAAGATACCTCATGGGGAACTGGCCTTCTATGAATCCAGTCATTCGGCATATTCTGTTCTTCTGCTCGTTGCTTACCCCACCAAAAAAGATATGAGACTTCATATGATTAGGAAATAGTCCTGTTGTGGCTGAGAACTCTTCAAATCCTGCAATTATCCTTGCAATGGAACTTTCATCTGCTTTGCAAAACAACATTAAATCATCAGCAAAACAGATGTTAGTTAATTCAAGCTCTTTGCACAAGGGATGGAACTTAAATTGGGGAGTTTCTGCTACCATACACAGTTTTCTAGTAAGAAATTCCTTTACAAGCACAAACAGGTAAGGCGATATAGGACCCCCCTGTCTAAGTCCTCGTCTTCCTTCAAAATTCCCAACTGTGGTACCATTCATTGCTAGTGAATAAGATGGCGTGGTGACACATGCCATGATCCACCTTACAAACTGTCCCAGGAAACCATAGCCATAGAGCATCTCCTTCACAAACTCCCATTCCACTGTATCATAGGTCTTCTTTGTATCAATTTTCATCAATACTCTGCTAGAAATATTACTCCTCCTATATAGTCTAACCAGCTCCTGGACTATAAGGACATTATGTAGAAGAAGTCTGTCTTTGATAAAAGCGCTCTGATTCTCATTTACTAGTTCAGCCAGTACATCCTTCATCCTTTCACAAATCACCTTGGAAATGCATTTGTAGACCACATTGCAACACACAATGGGCCTATATTCCCCTGCATTTCTAGGTGAATCTGTTTTAGGGATAAGTGCTATCAACATTGAGTTCAGTTGCTTCAACATGCACCCTGTCTCAAAAAACTCTTTTACTGCTTCACTAACCGCCATAGCAGTTGTCTTCCAAGTCTTCTTGAAAAATTCATTTGAGAAGCCATCTAGACCGGGACTTTTATTACTATTGATATTCCAGAGTGCTCTCTTGATTTCTTGTTCTGATACTGGTTTCAAAAGATCCATCTACTGATCCACTGTAAGCCTGGGCCCTTGCATAAATACTTTAAAGTTTGATTTGCATCTCTGGTTCTTCTGACCTAATTGTTGTTGAAAAAAGGTTAGAAAGTGTGTTTCCACTTCTCTCCAATCTGTTTTCAACGTGCCATCATCCTTCATATATGACCAGATTCTATTTTGAACATTTCTCTGCTTGACCTTAGCATGAAAGAAAGCCGTATTGCTGTCTCCTTTTTGAATCCACTCCTCTTTTGCCTTTTGTATCCAGTACAGCTCTAATGCCTTGGCCAGTTAAAAATATTCTTGATTATGCCTTCTTTCTTCTTCCTGGGCTACTATATCTGAGGGTTGGCATGAATTCTGTGCTGTGCTTCCACTAAACTCTGGAAAGCAACCTGAGTTCTTTTCTGAATATCAGCAAACTTCTTTTTATCAAGTTTCGTCAGAATGGGTTTTAAACGTTTCAGCTTATGGACTAGCTAAAATAATTTAGCAACCTTAATCGGTTGTTCCCAGCTGCTCTTCACCAAACTCAAAAAACTGTCATCCAAACACTACATATTAAAAAATTTGAAAGGTCTAGGAAGCTGACTTACTTGCACATCTATCTGAATGATGAAAGGAGTATGGTCAGAAACTCCTTCAGCTAAGACAGTGGCCAGTGAACTTTCTTACTGTAAAACCCAATTCATATTGACTAAAGCTCTATCAATGCGAGACATGATCCTTGCATCCCCCAATTGTTTATTGCGCCGTGTAAATAAAATGTCCCTGCTGCTTCATGTCTTGGAGCTCACATATATCAACAAACCGCTCGAACTCCTGAATTTCAGCTAATGAGACCCTATTCCCACCTTTCCTTTCATCCCGCTTCAAAACATTGTTGAATCCCCTGCTAGTAGCCAAGCTTCACTAGTATTTGTAGCTAATGAAATTAGATCCTCCCACAACTTCGATCTCTCAGCTGGGTTGTTACTAGCATATATAATTGTAAGATAGAAGCATCCACCAATTCTAGTGGTCACCTTACAATGAACCAATTGGTCTGTACTATTCAAAACTGACAATATGATACTGTCCTTTCTCCATATGATGCAGATTCTACCTCTAGAGGCATAAGCAAAATCAAAAAAATATTCATGATTCGACCACATGCTCTTAATATAATTTTCACTATTTTCCTGATTAAATTTAGTTTCTACTATACACAATATAAATCTTATAGAATGCTACTAAATGACTGACTTCCTTTTGCTTACAGAGGCTATTTAAGCCCCGTATATTCCAGGATAATAAATTGGTCATATTTTACCTGGATCCGGGGCTTTTGGTACTCCCTTTGCTTCTTCCTTTGTCTTTTGATTCACCCTACTACTTCGCCCTGCATCCTCATCCCTTGTTAGCACAGTGAATTTAGATTGCTGAATTTCCCATTGTTGTTGCATTGCCACATTAGTTATGCTATCATGCTGCTCCTGACAGAGAAATTCCTCTACTATCTTGATCGGATCATCTAGCTCTTCTTCTGTGACAACTGCTTTCCCTTTTTGGACTTTACGCTTTTCTTTCTCAGACCCCTTTACAGTTTTAGGCTCTACTATCCTATCCACCTTGTCTCTTCTTATGTTTCATTTCTTCCTACAATCTTCGCCCCCATGACCATAACCTTGACAGTGTGTGCATTTCGTGGGCCGACATTCATAATACACTGCCTGAGTCTGAACTATATCCTTTTTATCTTCAAAGTAAGTCTCAATTGGGGGGAAATCTTGTATCTCAACGTCAATTAAAACTCTAGCATATTGAACTTTGGTTTTTTCTGTTGTCTCCAAATCTGCCATTATTAGCCTCCCCAAGTTACTAGCTAACATGCTAAGAGATGCTATATTCCAGTACTTTAGTTTCAATCCGGAAAATTGTACCCAAACTGGAACATGAGTAACCTCCTTAATATTAATCCCCATTTCCACACTCCATGGTTTAACTATAATAGGATGACCTCCCATATGGTAGATATTAATGCTAAGAGTTTCTTACTTATAAAATTCATACTTAAATTGCACCAAAAATAAACCAGAAGGTAAGAGGAAGACCTTATCAACAGTACCTTTCCACAGATTGCGATAGTATCGATCCATTACATCCAGATGAGGGTTTGCCCCCCCAAAACGAAACTGACGATGGAATGGTCCCAATAATCCGCTTCAGCTTGTACGTCTTTCTGTTGCATTTGACAGATCTTCTTGCCATCGTGTTCATTCGGAGCAAAATAATCCAGCTTGGCACCCGCCTTTTTCAATTTCTTCGGGTCGAATTGTTCCCAACCCAGAGGTCCTTTTTCCAGATCCGACTTTTGCTGAGTTGACCAATCAATTCTTCTTACTGTAGGAACACCCAGAAGGTCACTGAGTGTCTTCATAGCTTCGCCATCAATGAGATTCGTCGATGGAGCAATCCCCCTAGATAGTTTCGCCCTAGGGTTTATTTGGTTTATTCCACTCGATTTCTCTGTTTCCTTCCCCAATACTTCTTCACCAGATCTTTGATTTACCTTCCCCATGCTGTTAATCGCCGGCGTGGTAATGATTTTCGGAGATTTGGCTTTCTTTTTCCCCTTCTATTTGCCCTTTGCCATGGTTATTTCATAGTTTGAAATCGCCTAGTGAGAGAAAGAGACGAGGAGAGAGAAAGTCCTCACACGTATAGTGTTGGGTGATGATAACTTTAACTTGGGAAACACTCAAAAATACATTCACTATTATGAAAATATTATTATGCACACGTTCTGAAATTATAAAATTCGTCATAATTAAGCCTTTCGTTGTCGATTTAAGAGCAAGGAATTGTAGTTATAGAATTTAGATTGAAAACTCAACTCCTAGAGGAACCAGTTCATGTTACAGTAAATGATTCGTCATAATTAAGCCTTTCGTTGTCGATTTAAGAGCAAGAAATTGTAGTAATGGAATTTAGATTGAAAACTCAACTCCTAGAGGAACCAGTTCATGTTACAGTAAATGATTCGTCATAATTAAGCCTTTCGTTGTCGATTTAAGAGCAAGGAATTGTAGTTATGGAATTTAGATTGTAAACTCAACTCTTAGAGGAACCAGTTCATGTTACAGTAAATGAGTTGTTACCCATACTGTCCAAAAATATAATCTACGAAACAATATAGATTTCGAAATTTGACACAAACTATTTTTTTTTATTTTTTTATGCAAAGAGTATGTTAAGGAACCGACATAATATGCCAATAGCTATAGTAATTCATGTAAGAATAAAATTCATAACTATGAGAACATTCTAGGTTTCGGAAGGTCTTGATTCGAAGAAGGGAGGAACGATGAAAAGAAAAATGGGACAACTAACAGATAAAATCCTCCCCAACCAGCAATTTAAAAATAATACAATAATAATAATAACAGTTCTTACAGACAAATTGAATCTTAGTTAAAGTTATCGCCACACTAATTTTCCAGAACATTGCCAAATGAATGTCCAAACATCAACACCATGGATTTTTAGTGCGATAAGCACTAATACTCTGAAGATGTTACATTGTCTAAATGCCACTATAATAAAGTTTGAAATGAAATAAATTCTTAATTAAAGTGGAAGATAAGATTCAATAACAAGATAAATTTTGAGAGAATGTGATCCTTGTTACACTGGCCATAAGATTTTAAATCGAGATTTTAGCAATCCAATAATCAAATTTCATTTAGGGTCAAGTGGGATTTTACCACCTCCTTTATTGTGCTGAAGAGATAAACATATAGAATTATAAATTTGTAGTGTTCCTTTGTGTCAAGCAACTGATTTTCGGGGGAAAAAAAAAACAGTTAATTTGCAGACGTCAATTCAATGTATTTCCACTACGCATTCCAGCAAAATAAAAGTCAATGACTTAGATTTCTAAAAAAAAAGAAATTAATTTCCACAAATCAATTCAATGTAATTTGATTATGCATTAGCAAAATAAAAATCAATGACATTGCCGCTTAGTTTTTAAATCACTTAGGTGCCTAGATATATAGATACATATCTGATAAAAGTAAAAATAAGTGAAAAACCTAATCTTTTGTATTATAGACTAAACGTTTTACTAGTCCCTTAAGTTGGCCATATTACTAATTCTAATGCATTGATTTATTATACTCCTTTGTTTTGGTTTATTTTTTTAGAATAAAGGGAGCAATTTTTATAATTTATTTTAATCGAGAAAAGCTCAGGGATAAAACTATAGTAGTATGTCGGTAAATTAATAATTTATAAATTAATAACTTATGGTAATTAACAATTTTCTCCGGTCTCAACTTGGGATAAGTACGAAAAGTAAAAAATATTGATAAAATGATAAGATAATAATTTTTCAGAAAATCTCTTACGTAGATGTAGGTCCCGACAAGACTATAAAATAATAAATACCCTAAAAGTATAATAATAATAATAATAATAATAATAATAATAATAATAATAATAATAATCATCGGTATAATTATTTAGTAAAATCTGAACAATTTGTAATTTTTTTTGTCCCTATAGATGATATGAACTATACATGAATTTGTGGTATTTAGAGAGTTTTAATACTTGATTAATTCGAATGTAAAGAAAATTACAAATTAAGTCATTTAGTACCCGTTCTTTTTTCTTATAGAAATTCTTTCAATTAATAATTTATTAATTTATTGATTATTGAATAAGTTTCTAAATTTATAAATTCTGATATGATTAATTTATATAAGTTTTACTGTAGTTATTAGGGGGTAAATGGTATAAGTTAATGATCAGTACTAATACTGTAGACAAGTTAAGGGACTGTTAATGTAATTTTGTTAAATTAACGTTGTGTATATCGTTCCTGTTCCCCATAACACAACCTGTTGGACCGACAATCATTAAGTAATGATGGACTATTATTTAATTATCTTGCTTTATCAATATTAACTAGTTTACTAAAAAAAGGCTGAAAATTAAATTAGTTGTTGTTTGTAAAATCAATTAATTAAGTGGGATATAGATAGTGGGTTTCCTTTTTTTTTTTTATCATTGGCCATTGTCAATTGTCAATTTGAAATCTACCGCCCGAAGCAAATTAAGCAAATTAATTATGAATAATGATATTCTTCTCTACAAATATTACTCAATTTATAACTCTACTTACCTGTCTATCTAGTTGGCATTCCACATCATTTTCTTAATTATTATTTTTTCTTTTTACTAAAAGGAAATAATTTTAAAAAGAATTTCATCCTCTTTCTTTCCTTCAGTTCTTTTATTTTCTTTTCTTTTTTCTCTTTCACCATCGTAAACGGGGGATTCCTCTTCATGAAGATAGTCGCTCAACAATATTCCCCAAATTCTGAGAATTATCATCACTTCTGATTCACCCAAAAAATAGAATTAATTTAAGTGATGCAGAATAAAGGGTTTGTGCCATTATGGGGATCTCTAGGATATAGTTTCATTAGTCTTGATTCTAAATCAAATCCTCTAATTGTTGGGGTTCTTTGTGAAATCTCCTATCTCCGTATGTGAATAATCAACTAATCTATTGAGCAAAAATTATCGGGAACTACAATTTTGTGAGGTAGAAGGATTCCTTTTTCAACTGGTGAAGGGGAACCTTTTTTGTTTTTTTTTTAAGTTGACGGAAACTGCTACGCAATGGTTAAAGAGGATCTAGTTTTTTTTTTAGGTTGAGGGCTCTGCTAAGCAGTGGCGAAAAAGGGAAGTGGATGAAACAAAGCTTCGATTGAAATTGGATTCTATTTTTTTACTGAAAAGAAAAAATAGTAGATTTTATTTTTTAGTAAAAATGAAAAATAATAATTAGAAAGGTGATGTGAAATGACAAATAGATAAATATATAAGTAGAGTTACGAGTAAAATTATTGTATTTGTAGAGAAAAATATCATTACTCATTAATTATTAGGTTGTCAAACAACTCTACTGTATCCATTTGCCTGACATTTTGAGAGTTGACGTCGTTGATCTGCCATCAACATTAAAGTTTACACGTACGGCCTAGTCAAAACAAGTTTTTTCTTTTCTTCTTTTTTTGGGTTGTATATTTGCACGTGTTTATTCTTGGGATAATAACTGAGATTCGTTGCTTAAATTTAAAGCATCTTAATCAGTGAAAGTGTGAAATAGTCTGTAGACATCTCGATAAATAGATCAGTTGGTCGAAGGCTTTAAATATTATTGCATAACAAGCATCTTAATGATACAGGATGTCTCATTCTTCTACTTTACGGTTACTCTAAAGTTCAAAAGTTTGAGATTCATTTATCACTAATTACAGTTGATATTTTTGTTTTAATTAATCCCTTTGATGAATTTGTTTACAAATAATGTGGGATTGCGATGCAATGTTGTATACACAGAGTAATTGAGTATTTCTTTCATTCTAATACAGTAAAAGCTCCCAAAATTAATCTTCTATTAATTAATAAAATTTATTAAATAATAATTTCCTCCGGTCCCGCGACCAGTACAAAAATGAAAAAACTCGATTAATTTGTAAGATAATAATTTTCAAGAGTCTTTTATGTAAATATAGATCCCCACAATTTCATAAATTAATAAATACCTAAAATAATAAATTAGATTTGAAGATTACCATAGATTTTAACTTAACTCTTTTTTTTTAATGTTAGCAATTACCATATTTTTGTTGATTAAAAAAATTATACTGTTATTGCCAGGGCTGCAACGAAATTTTCTTGATATAAACATAATAATTTTTTTAATTTTCTTTTTAGAGGATTGAAAAAAATCTCTAAATTAATAAAATTTAATTTATCAATAAATTAATACTCCATGAATTAAAAAATTTGTTTGAGGCCAAGTGTATTTATTTATAGAAGATTTACAGTAATATGATCAGTTTGTTTTCAAATAGATTATTTTCAAATTTTATACCTCTAATTTAAAGCATGCTGGTGGATGACTTTGTACCTTACTTTGATAAAATTATTATAATCGATGCAATAAAAAACAAAGTATGTTGATTAACATTAAGGACAAAATGGAAACTGCTTTTATATATATTAGTGTTTACCCCGCACGTTGTGCGGGTTAGTGGCAGAGGGAGGAGGACCAGTGGGGTAATCGCTTCTCCTGCTGCTTAAAAAATTTTAATAAGTGTCCTTTGAAAATTTTAGTACAAATTTTTGAAAAATAATAATTTTGCCCTTGCAAAATTTTTTTTACACCTTCTGGTCTAGGATAAAATATTACATCAGTTTAAGATATATATATATATATATGAGTTTAATGGTTTAATGATTATATGACATTTTTGACAGAGTGATATATGTTAAAATTAATGATATAAATTATTTTTTAACTTTTAATGCTGTGTGTTTTGTTAATTTTAAGTATATTTGGAATGATTTTCAAAATTTTAAATCATCCAATGTAACTTGTTGTCCATCTTTTTCATTTTGTTCATTTATGAATTTATATTTTTAAAAAGTATTATCTTAATTTTTTTTTTATAAGAATCTCTTTAGATATTTCTACCAATGTGATATCTTTTAAACTCT